AGCCAAGCTTCTGAGCTTGAAAAGGGGAATTATTAGGGACTCTCTCTTATTTTATTTGACTGGATAATTTAATACTGTATTTTAAAGATAATATCCATACGTTTGTATTTACTTTGAACTTGACACCATTTTTCCAAGGCCTCCGTGTGTTGCTTCAGATACTTCCAATGCATTGCTTCTGATTGCTGCATAGTGTGCCAGAGTATCCATCCCCTACATAAGCTTTATAATAGCTTTATTGAAATATAAATCACAAACAATAAAATGTATCCCTTAAAGTTTACAGTCCAGTGGTTTTTAGAATATTCACAAAATTGTGCACCTGTCACCACTAATTATAGAATATTTCATCCACTGCATTTTACTTGTTCATTATCCAGTGATGGATGTCCAGATCATTTCCAACTCCTCAGCATCACAAACAATGTGGGGATAAACATCTTTGTATGTGACTGTCTTATGAGTTTCTCTGGCTGTGCATGCATAAAGACTAGATCACGTACTTTCCGATAAAACAACAGAATGGCTTGGAATGTGAGAAAATATCATTTTTCTAGTAGTTCATTTGGAGGCAGATTTATTGTTACTTTAGGAGCAAATTTTTTCTTTTGCTTCTTTGAGCCATTTCGTATTTGAATAATTTGATTATTCATCCTAGGAATTTTAGGGTTGGATGTTAAACTTTGAAATTAATATGGACTCTGATGTAAATTGCTTGAAGGACTACTATAGGATCAGTAAGACCAAAGGGAAAAAAAGGGTGTAATTTCTCTTTGGGTGTGGATTATTATCATAACTAGTTTTTATGTACCTTCGTTTTCTATTTGCCTTGTAAAGATAATATAAAATACATATTAAAAATTGAAAGAGAAATGTGAAGGAAAATCATTAAAAAATACTTGTAAATATGAAACAAGCAAATATGAAGAAGCAGAATTTTACAAAGGAATATAAATAAGAGAGACAAAGGAAAGCAGTATATAAGAAAGGAAAATGCAAAGTACAAAACCAACCCATATAATAATCATTTGGCTTTCATTGACATCTGAAGGGGTTGTGGCTTTCCTTTACTGCTGTGTGGGAATGGTCTCTACTGACCCCTGGTTGGGGGATAAGAGAGCAGAGTCTAGTTATCAGCTGGTGGGGATGAAAGTCTCAGCTCTCTACTTGGTCGTCTCTGAATCCTTCCTATTGGGGATTTGAACTTGGGGTGTTAGGGTGTCTTGTTAACAGCCTTGTGAAAGTAGATGCCTAGGCTCTCCACTTGGTCATTGCTGGTGGGCACTGCATCACAGTTTTGTTTTTTTTCCTCCTGTAATGTTTGGCTGGAGTATAGTAGTTATTGTCTAGAAGTTTCTGTTTTAATAGGCTGCCTTTTTCCTGATACTTATCAAGACAGAGCAGGTTTTTGTCTGTGCTTGTTAGCATTTCCGGTTTACAGGCTCATTCAGCTCCAACACTAGGATATATAAGGCAAAAAAGAAAAAGGTACTCACCACCATGTCATTCTTTATAGTTCAAGATTTCCTGGATGGTTTGCCTTCTTTCTACCTTTAAGTCTTTTAATATTTGTTTTATATATAATGTCTAGGACTTTTAGTTGTACTCAGTGGGAGGAATAGGGAAAATATGTATACCTGATATTCTCAAAAGCAGAAGTCCTTCTTCACATGCAATTTTTATATGGTAGTAGAAATAATTAAGCACACAAGGAAACAAGTCATCAATCAAGACCTGGAAAAAACAACAAACAACAGAAACAGACTTCCAGAGACTACATGTATTGGAATTATCTGACGATGTTATGAAACAAGTGTGCTTATTATGTTTAAAATAAAAGATGACTTCTGGATTCAGGCCACATTGGAGTAACGGGGAACAGATTTACCCTTCTGCCTGTAACAATACAAGCATTTATTTCAACTAAATGATTATTAAATGAATTAATGTATTAAATGAATTAATACACTTCATTTGTATTAATAAATGAAACAACAGTTTTTAAGACTTTGTATGTTAAACAGTGAAGGATAGTGATCCTTGAAAGATTGGAAACTAGTGATTTCATTTGTTTGCTTTGATTGCTTTGGCTTACTACCTGAAGAGCATTTCTAGTCCATGGAGCAGAGTTGTAGAATTGAGGCAGAGCCTGGCTGTATCTCATGTGGATGAGACATAGCTAGGAGTTCAATAACATAGGTGGCTGGAGTTAGCAAGTAGGAGAGGAGAGAGGTAGAGAGATCCAGAGATGTGCAGAGGATCCCAACGAGTACTTAGCTGAGTTATGATCAGTGCATGCATGTGAGGAAACTACCTGAGGCTGGGGAAAGAACAAGCCAAATACATCAGAGGGAAAAATCCTCTGAGCTCATACAAGACTAGTAATAGTTGCTGTTCCCATCGTTGAGAGTAGAAAATCTCATAATTCATGGANTTTTTTTATAGCTATTATTAGAATGTCATCTGAAAAAAAAGAGACCATTTTATTTCTTCCTTTCTAATCTGAGTGCCTTTCTTTCTTTTCCTTGCATTATTACACTTGATAGTACTTCCACTATAATATTGAATATAAATTGAGCTGACATCTTTCCTTGTTCTTGATCTTAGGGGAAATATATTCAATTTTTTTTTTAACCTTTAAATATGTTAGCTATAGATTTTTTTGTAGATGTCCTTTTTTCATTGAGAAAGCTCCCTTGTATTCCTAGTTTTTATAATCAGGAATAGATGTTAGATTCTGTCAAATGTTTTTTTCATACCTATAGAGATGATTATGTGGTTTTCTTATTTAGTATATTAGGGCGAATTACATTGTTTGATGTTTGAATGTTAAATTAATCTTGCATCCTGGAATAAGCCCTGCTTGATGTATTGTTCTTTTTATAAGTTGTTGGATTCAGTCTGTTCAAATTTTAAGCATATTTATATCTATGTTCATGCGGGTTATTGGTCTATAATTTTCTTATAATGTTTTTGTTTAGTTTTGCTGTCAGGGTAACACTGCCCTCTTAGAATAAGTAAAATTCTTTTCTTTTCAAGTTTCTGGAAGAGTTTATGTAGAATGGAATTATTTCTTCCTTAAATGTAAGAATTTACCAGTGAAGCCACCTGGACTGGGAATTTTCTTTGTGGGAAGATGCTTAACTACTATTTCAAATTTTTTTTTTAATAGACATAGGGTTATTTAGGCCTCCCTCCCTCTCTCCCTCCCTCCCTTTTTTCCTCCCTTCCTTCCCTCCTTCCTTCTAACCATACATCCTTCCATTTTTAACAAATTCAGTTTACTGGGGTAATGTTGGTTAATAACTTTATATATACATTTCAGGTATACAACTTTAAAATACAACATCTGTATACATTGTGTGCTCACACCTGATATATTTCTTTTTGTGTAAACCTTGGTAGTTTATGTCTTCCAATTTGTCCATTTCATTTAAATTGTCAAATTAATTGGCATAAAATTATTCATATATTTCCTGATTATCCTTTTAATTTCTGAAGACTTTTTAGTGATATTATCTCATTCCTAATAATGGCAATTTATGCCTTCTTTCTTTTTTTCTAGATTATAGTCTCTCAAGAAATGTTTTGTATGGATCTGAAAAGAATGTTTATTCTGCTTTTGTTTAGTGTAGTGCTCTATAGAGATTGATTAGATCAAGTTGATTGGTAGTGTTCTTCTAGGCTCTTTATTGATCTTCTCTGTACTTTTCCATCAGTTATTGTAAAAGGCGAAAGATTTATGCGATCTGAAGAGAAACCAAAGTATCCATCAGTTATTGTAGAGTGGTATTAAAATCTCTGACTATAGTTGTAGATTTGTCTTATTTGTCCATATAGTTGCATCAATTTTTAATTCATGTGTTTTGAATCTCTGTTTTTAGATTCATAAACATTTGTGTATCTCCTTTTGATGAATTGACCCTTTTATTGTTATGAAATGGCCTCCTTTATCTCAGGTATCATAATCCCTATATTTAAAAAAGTCACTGACAAGTGGAATGGGATTAATAATTATTAATTTAGTTAAGCCATAGCCTTGTAAAAGAAGGTGGATTACTTAAACAAAATCATCATTTTGTTAGAATAGAGAAAGGAAGTGAAGGAAGGGGAGAGGGATATTGTATAGTCATCTAACAATTATTTATTACATATGCTAACGTTGCCTACTTAAAAAAATACTTTATATGCTAGTTAAATGAAAGGTCAGATTAGATCTAATTCTTTATTCCCCACTTTTGAATTTGTAGTTAAACAGTCTCAATTATTATAATGTTTGATATTATCACTGTTTAATGGTTGAGAAAACTCAGCTGAAAGGAAAAGTGACTCAACTGTATTATTTTGTTTTGAAACTGAAGTGAAGCCTAACTCTAAAGCTCAACATTTGTGTTTTTGTTTGTTTGTTGTTATCCTTTCTTAGTTTGTTTTGAGCCTTAGTGCAAGAAGGTAACATTGTGGGGGAAAAAACTCCAATGCTTTTCTTAAGTTTTATAATGTTTAAAGAGGAAAAGTAGAACATAAGACAGTATGTTATTTTATCCTGTCACATTGGATAGAACATGACAGAACATCTATTTACAAAAATACTTTTCTTTAGAGCCAGATGATTGCTGTCATTTTGAAAAGAAACCATCTGCTTATTGTTTAAATTCCTGGATAATTTACCAACCCACATCTATAAGCAGAAGTTACATTCTTCATAGCTTTAAAACCACTGATGAGGTCCATTGTCTCCATATATAATGCATACATATTTCCTGTGTACTGAATGAAAACAGATCTTGACATTTATGATATCTAAAAAGATCAAGTTAATTTCATTAACANTGACTTATAGAATCTATTTTGATTTATTAGGGTACTGAAAACTTAATTTAGCATAATCTACCCCTTTTTCTCAACTCCTCTGATATTTTGATAGATTTCTCAAAAATGATAAAGTGACTATTAAGTAAAATTGATGCTTAATCTCTTTCTCTTTTTAAAATTATTTGCAGGAGAGGGCTGCTCACAATTTATATGGCCAACTTGGTAAGTAATTTTTTATTTTTTTGCTTTTGAGGATTTTCTGTGTGCTTTTTAATCTTTTTTTTTTTTTAAATCAAGTTCCCTTAAAAAACAACAACAACAAAGAACAAAAGCTACTTAAATTTGAGAATATTCTCTGTCTCTGTTTTAAAGGATAGACTTTAACATTTAAAAGAGCCTTGATTCCATCTGGTTTATTCCTTTCACACACGACTGAATTTTACTTATTCCAGGAGGAAAGTGGTTCACTGCCCTGTGCCCTTCATGACTTTTTTTTTTTAAGTTTAGATTTTCACCTTTGATAGGATCTATATCTATGTCTGTATATCTCTATACATCTTTCATTTCATTTCATATTATGTTTCTGTTGCCATTTCTTATGGGGAAAAAGGCTGTAAGGATGAGTTTTTATGAGGTACATTCTTCAGGGACATTGGAAGAGAATTGGTTTTATCTCCAAACATTTAGTATATTTAATAAAATAATTAGCTAGCCTTCTAAATGTCTACATTTACAGAAGTGAAATTAATGTTAACTTGTCTGATATTCTTTACGGTAAATATATAATCAAGGTGATATAATTTTCATTGCTAAATTCATACTTTAAAAACACATGTANATTTGTTACATAGAGAAATTACTGTAGATATAGTTGGATAGTACAACTCTTGGCTTCTAACCTTTTATAATTTCCTATTAATATTATTCCTGAAACAAAACCCATCATCTTAAATGGATACTAAATGTAAATTTTTGTATTAAAAATCCACTTCATGACTTTTAAAAGAAGAAATCTATTTAATTATAATGTCATTTAATTTTTTCATTGACATAGTTTTCCTTTGAATAACTCAAGGCAATTATAATAGTATCCCAGGATGACACAAATTTAATCACTCCAACTGAAAATGAGCCTTTAGAAGAAGTAACAGGTAAAGGTGGTAATAGAGAAATAAAATGCTTTCTATGATATGTAAATGAAGACTACAAGAACATTTAGGAGATTGACTATCTCTAATTCATATCTTTGCTAAGCAATAACAGTTAATTATCAAATGAAAGCTAGCCATTAAGTAGTGAACTGAAATATAAAAATAAAATTACACTGAAAAAAACCAAAGAATATTAAAGCTAGGAAACAATTCTGAGCCCCTCTACACTTTGATGACACCTTTTTTCCTGGTTTTAATTATTCACATGTGGGCATGCATGTTAGCATGTATGATTGCATGTGTGTGCATATGCACGTACAGATACTTCCTTTAAACTTTCTGCTCCTTTGACTCTAGATCTTTGTTCGAGCTGTTTCAACTTTCTGAATACCATTTTTAATTCTTGTAGGTTTCTTTTACTTGTCTTGAGAGTCTTTAGCAGGACAAGTATGTGAATTTCTTGCTACCAAGAGAAGGCTAAGGAAATGCTTTTGATTACTGAGTTATCACCATACCACGTATGGTACCATTAAGTAAGTAGTAAATAAGTATTTATTGAATAAATGAATAAGCTTTCAGATATCTTTAGATACTTTCAGAATACTTGATGAACTTTCTTTTGTTAAACCTGAGAAAAATATTACTAGGAAATAATGAGAACTGTTATCTGTTGCTGGTAGGAGTGCAAATTAGTACATCCACTTTGGGAAATGATTTGGTACTTTTTAATAAAGTTGAACATATACACGTGCTACAACTCATCAGCCCATTCTCTAAGTATTACTAGAGGAAATTTTACCTGAGTGGACCTGTACTGAGAAACCAACAAGAATGTTTAGAGGAGCATGTTCATAATTACAAAAATTCAATGCACCTCAAGTATCAATCAGCAGTTGAATAGATAAGTAAACTGTATATTTATATGCTGGAATACTGTGTGGCATAGAAGCCTCAAGTTGGTTCTAAGAAACTGCAATGAATTATTTCTTCCAAATGTCCATGCTGTTCTCTCTTTGGAAATTAAACAGCTTTGAGTTTATTTTTCTTAGGGTTATAGCTTAATTGCAGATATCATGGGAGTTTGCATCTTTTTACTCTTTGATTTTGTAGTTTATAAGCTCTGCTTTCCTTAAAAAAACTTATTAGTGCTATGGTATAGTTGAAAGGAACAGCAAGGTTTGTATTATCAGCAGAGTTTATTTTTGTTGATACATGTTCCTTACTCTTTTTGTCCAATAATAAAAAAACTATTTACATTCTTTATTTTTGTACAAAATGAGCCCTGAATTAATAAAATATAAATATTTAGGAAACTACTGTATTTCATAATTCTCCAGAAGTGTAGAATCTAGAATATTTAGGAATGATGAATAAATGTGGAGTTCTACTCCAAGGTAAAGATTTTATTTTAACAAATTCTGAGGCAAGTTCTTCACTGGGGTTATGGATTCATTGGGATGCAAGTAGCTGGATACCCAACTACTAGTGACAAAGCGTAAGTACATTTACTTTTTAAAGTAAATTACAGGGAGTTTTGAGAGTAGCAGTTCCAGGATTCAGTGATACCATCAAGAACTCAGGCTATTTAGATCCTTGCACTCTGCCATCTTTGGTTCATGGGCCTTTTTACTTTCATGCTTGTCAGTAAATTCCATGATAATGACGATAGTGATGGGGATAAACGACATACATTTCCTATTTCTATTTTTCTGGAAGGACCTGGATGAATAGAAGTTAAGACATAACTCCTTGAAAGTAANGAATTAAAACTCTAAACTTTCATATCCAAGAAGCTTAATGAACCTCAAGCACAAGAAACATAGAGGAAGCTGATCACGTCATAGTCTATTAAACCAATGACAGAGAAAATCTTAAAAGCAGCCAGGGAAGAGAGAAACATTTTATACAGAGGAACAAAGATTATGATGACAGCAAATTTTTTGTTGGGAATAATATAAACCAGAAGACAGTTAAGCAGTACCTTTAAAGTACTGAAGAAAAAGAATTATCAACCTAGAATTGTGTACCCAGCAAATATCTATGAAAAACAAGGTGAAATAAAGACTTTTTTTTATAACAGCCCACCTAGAATGCTTTACTTAGCAAAGTTGTCCTTCAGAAATGTAGTAGAGATACAGATTGTCCAAAACAAACAAAGCTTTGGAAGTTCATCACCACTAGACCTGTCTTATAAGAAATGTAGAAAGGAATTCCTCAAGCTGAAAAGAAAGGACACTAATTAGTAATGTGAAAATACGAAAATATACAACACAATGGTGAAGATGAGTAGTCAATTTCAGAATATTGTAATATTGTAATATGATATTGTGTCAGCAACTTTAGTATAAAAGTTAAAGAACAAAGGTATTAAAAATAGCTATAGCTACAATGTTAATGGATTTACAATATAGAAAAGATGTAAATTGTGATACCAAAACCATAAAACGTAGGGGGAGTAAAAGGGTAGCGTTTTTGTATGCAATGTGAGTTAAGTTAATCAGTATAAAATAGACTGTTATATATACAAAGTGTATTATGTAAGCCACATGGTAACCACAAAGCAAAAACCTAAAGTTGATACATGACAGATAAAAAGAAGGAAATCAAAGTAAAACAGTACCAAAAATCATTAATTCAGAAGGAAGACAGTAATAGAGGAAGAAAGAAACAAGGGAACTATAAAACAGTCAGAGAACAATATGGCATTAGTAAGTGCTTACCTATCAGTAATTACATTAAATGTAAATGTATTAAGTTCTCCCATCAAAAGGCATAGATTGGCTGAATAGATTAAAAAAATCAAGACCCAATTAATTATATGCTGCCTACAAGATACTCACTTTAGCTCTAAAGCCATATTTGCTCAAAGTGAATGGATAGAAAAAGATATTCCATGCAAATGGTAATCAGAGAGCAGGAGTAATGGTAAAGAGAGCAGGAGTAGCTATACTTATATTAGACAAAATAGACTTTAGTCAAAAGCTGCAACAAGAGACAAAGAGGGTCATTATATAGTGATAAAGGGGTCAATTCATCAAGAGATAGAATATAAATATACGTACACCTAACATTGGAGCACATAAGTATATTAAGCAAATAATAAGAGACTGAAGGGGGGAATCAGCAATGATACAATAATAGTAGGGGACTTCAGTTTCCTACTTTAGCAATGGGTAGATAACCCAGACAGTAAATCAATAAGGAAATGTTCGACTATAGATGAAATGGACACACCATTATAGACAAAATGGACTTGACAGACATCTTTAGAACATTCGATTCAGCAGTAACAGAATACACATTCTTTTCGAGTACATGTGGAACATTCTTCAAGATAGATTATATGTTAAGTCACAAAATAAGTCTTAGCAAATTTAAGAAGATTGAAATCACATGAAGTATATATGCTGACCACAGTGGTATGAAACTAGTAATCAATAACGGGGAAAACTGGAGAATTCACAAATATGTGGAAATTAAACAACACACTCCTGAAAAACCAATGGGTTAAAGAACAAATCAAAATGGGAATTAAAAAAATATCTTAAGACAAACAAAAATAGAAATATAACAGGCAAAAACATATGAGATGCAGTAAAAGGAATTCTAAGAGGGAAGTTTATAGCGATAAACAACTATATAAAGAAAAAAAGAAAGATCTCAACAATCTGACTTTACAACTCAGGAAACTAGAAAAAGAACAAATTAAGGCCAAACTTATCAAAATGAAGGAAATAACAAAGATAGAGTGCATATAAGTGAAATGGAGACAGAAAAACAATGGAAAAGATCAATGAAAGGATGAGCTGGTTTTTGAAAAGATGAACAAAATTGACAAACTTTTAGCTAGACTAAGAAAAAATACAGATGACTTAAATAATACCAGTAATGAATTGGATAACCTAGAATAAATGCATAAATTCCTAGAAACATACAACTTACTAAGACTGAATCATGAATAGAAAATCTGAAGACTGCAATAACGAGTAAAGAAATTGAATCAATAATCGAAAACCTCACAACAAAAAGAAGCCTAGGAACAGACGGTGTCATGGATTGGTGAATTTAAAG